AGTGTTGGGGGCAAAACAGATTCAACTTGAGGAGAATCAACTTCAATATAGTGCCATTTAAGTGAGAAACAAAGACAAGTATTAAAACAATTTTTCTCCCCACTCTCCCATACTTCACTCTTTCACTCCTGACTTTTCTACCCACTCTCAGTGGGGAGCTATAGGCAGTTAGTTCCTCTCTCTAGCTCCTTTCTCTTCACACTTTCCTCCTGCTCCTGCACAGGTGCTCCAGGGACCACAGTTCTCATCAGGAAATTTCCATTTGCCTACTCTAGGGTCCTCCAAGGGCTGCAGTGGGGACTCTTTTTTCCTTTCTCTGACCTTGCTGTTCCCTTTGTTTTGTTCATTCCTTTTTTTTTATCTTCCTCCTCTGCAGCAGCTTCACTACCAAAACCTTTCCATCTACACCCAGTACAGATGATAATGTTAGTCACTGTAACAAAAAAGGTATCACAATATCCTCAGGAGACTGTGCTCAGTATGAAACAATCTTTTCCCTTAAGGTCCAGTGACTACTACACAAAATTTATCTCACAAGCCACTGAGAAAAAATGGGAATAAATCCCACTATAATTTAACCTATAATTCTTTCATCAGCTAAACACAATAAAATTCAGATAGATTATTGTCTAAAAATTCCTACAAAAACACATGCCATGCTGTTAAAAAAATTAATTTCTGTGGATAATACTTTCACTCATTACAGGTAGAAAAGAAAAATGTCATGTGTTTCTCACTGAGAGCCATTGCTGAATTCTTCTCAACTTAGAGAGATTTGTTTTCACTTGAAAAGCATGGGTTTGAGCAAATAATCTCAGCAGCTAATCTAGTAGTGTGATGCTCCCTACAGAAGAGTTTGTCAGAGAAGATAAGAGACTGAGGATCTGTTGGCCCCTAATCAAATATAATACTTTTTACACTAATTCCATCACTAGGAGATATCCAGAAATTTGATTTTTAACAGTCTTTCTGAAAAACACTAATACTATTTTATAAAATGAAGTTATGCCTGAAGTTACTCTGCAATATGTCCTTCAAATTCTCCATTGCTGCATTCAGATAGCAGCATGTCTTTAGGCAGCCTCCACCACAAGTGCTTTAGAAAACACATGAGATCTATATACTAGCATAGCATAAAGTGACTTTACCTTTCAGGTTACATGCCCATTTTTTCATGTGATGCTCTGACATCCTGAAATGTCTTGACTTTTTACTAGTAAAACTGTTTGGTTTTTCTCTTTACATTTGTTGACTGAATTATATTGTAATGACTAAAACTGGCTCTTTGATTTCTAGACCAGGAGACTGAAAGTTCAGTAGGACATGCCTTTTACAAAGGAAAGTACTTACCTTCTGTGTAGGTTATCAAATCTGATCTTGTATTCAACAATAGATGAATGCTTGATCCGTATCTCACAGCAACTCCTATGAAACACTAAGTTAGTTTTCAAAATAAAGAGGAAGATGGTATTATTCCAAAAGAAAAAAGCATTTGTGGCTCTCAAGAAAGCTGCTTGCAGCATTTGTTCTAACACATTTTTCTTCAAATTTGTTTTTTTTTTTGAAGACTATGTGTTAACCATAGAAACACTCACTTCACATGGCACAGTTTTAGGATCTTGTTAGTGCCTCTTTCATTCACCAGAATTTCTCAGATTTGTTTTATTTGTGTGAATTCTGTTTGCTGCACTGGAATGTCGTCTGTATTTACTGACTTAGAGTAGACAATGTTTATATGCTTTACATTTAATAGTTCAGCTTTGGAAATTCAGAAAAAATGTACTAAACCTACTCAGTTATTGAAGATTCTTCCTAATAAAATTTGCTTCCTCATATAATCATGTTATTAGCAGAGGTGTCATTAAGAGGGTTGGCCTGTCACTTTAAACAAAGATTTCTATTATCTAGTCTTATGGCTGGTGGTTTGGGTTGGAGAAGAAATTTGGGCACTGGAATTGACAGCTCTAAATTTCTCAGCCTTCCAAATTAAATCATTATTTAAATTCAGGAACAAAGTAAGAAGAGCCCTTTTTGATATTTTTCACAATGTATTTCCAATATTTCCAACATGCATTCTTAGGGATCCAACCTTCACTGAGAAATTGCATAAACCTCTCAAGTTAGAGATCTTACTTTTTGAATAAAAGAAAGACTCAAGTGTTATCTTGGTGTCCAGATGTAATGAAATGAGATGTATTTCTTCATCCCCAGTTTGCACACAAGATAAAAGGGGTCAATTGAATAGAGCATAACTTGCAGTCAACAGCTCCCCAACGGACTCAAAGAAAAATGCATCCCCTCCTTTTTAATCAGAGTTATGAATAGTTAGGGGTGGTCTCATATGCACTTTGAAGTCTCTTACCCTGCGATTTGGCCCGTTCCCTGTATTTTTTCCTGGAACATGGTACTATGCAGGGTACCTATGCATATCACAGCCTCTGCTGTCATTTTTAATAAGTAGCTTATCTCTGTGATGCAACTAAAAGCAATCCTGAGTGTCTCCAGGGTTTGTTGTAATTACATTTTATTGTTGTATTTGAAAATGTGCATTTTTTGAAAACCAGTGCAAGAAAAATGGAAAAGAGATTCTAGAAGGTGATAGTCTGATTTTTAGAAGGTTTTAACTTTTTGTAGTTTCCACATTCACAAGACTAATTTATGCTTCCCAAGCAGCTGATCTTACACACCTCTGAAGCCCTGAATATAGCAGCTAGTGTAGTTTATTAACTGATTTTGAGTAACTGTCAAAAGATTATCATTTATACCTGCAGTCAGATGCTGTAGGATCAGAGGTTCAGTAATGTGTGTGTTGCTAATAAGATTGTAAAGTCTTATACTCTTGCTGCTGCCCCTTTCTTCTCCAAGTATTTACAGCTATAAGAGAATTTCTTCAAGTCCCAGTACTGCCAACAAAGTGCTGTGTAAAAAAATGTAGCTTTTGCTAACTTCTGATTCAGACAGTAAAGAAATGGCACTGTTTTGAGCAGAAAACCAACTAGTTTGCTTATATTGTTCTCTGGCATTACACTGCCATGCTAGGGCACCACCACCCAAACGACTGAAGAGTGCATCAGCTACCTTTGCACTCACACCTTTGTGCAGTCAGTGGAATTTCTTGTAGCCTGCATTCAAGGACTGAGCTTCACTTTGGTCATTGCACTGGATCTCTTCACAGCTCAGCTCATCAGGACTGCAAATCAAGCATGCATTGCAGTTTTCCCCTTTTGTGTTTTATTCCTGCTTGATTTTCATGCCATGGAGTGCTGTGAACTGTTTTTAGAGATTCATATAACACTTTTTTCCAAATTATTCCTCCAAAATATTCCTCCAAACAATGTAATCTTTTCTGTCTGGCATTGCTACTAATCTTTATTTAGTTATTTATTTTACAATTTCTAGAGGGATTGGATATGCCCAAGGCACCCCTTTAAGCAACGCTTTATATCAAGGTTGCATTTATAAATACTTCATGAGAGGCTCATGAATGATTAATAGATGTTTTAATGTATGACCAATCAATTGTAGATTTTGCAATGTCCAACAGACAAGTAGGTTTCTTATAAGCATAGATTATAACCATATCTGACATCTTCTATTGATGGGCTTCTAAACGTCTATAACATACACACTACTCATATCTGTAACATGTTTAAAACATCTACTAATCACTGATGAATTTTTTATAACCTATTTTGAAGCAGAGCCTGTCTATGGAGTATATCCCTTACCACTGCTTGTGACTCTCCATTTCTAAAAGATAGATAATTTACTCATCATCTTAGGACTTAGAACTCCTACTAATTTCAGTTCAAACATAAAGCTTTTTTGAGTTAGCTCTAGCATTTTCATCTCAGTCTAAGAAAAAATGTCCCTAGACAATTATGTCCCTCAGACTTCTGGCTGCTCTACCCTGCTAATGCATATTTTGCAAGTTCTGCTATAATGCAATGATTCTTAGGAGGCAAAGCGACTCTAAAATGTATTTTCAGCCTTTTGAACTGAGTTTAATTGCTCTCAAGACAGCTGTCCGAGTGACGATGTTTCACAATGTTTTTAGTTTCTTTGCTGTTATCCCTGTGTGCTTGGTTCATTTGTCCTTTCTCAGAAAAGGATAAGAAAATAGAAACTTCACAATAAGCCAGTGGAAAAGCCATGTCCAAGACAACTTTTGATTCTGACAGAGGAGTACACATTTTGTATGCTTGATAAGCACAGGAGTTGATAGGACTGCTCCTCCATGGGATTCCCCTAGTCTTAAGGTGAAAGCCATGACCATGTTCTATGCTTTCTATGGTGCATTCAGGTAGAATTGACTAAAGCAGACAATATAAATTATTTCCTGAAAATGTATGAGTCCTAGAACTAATCATTCACATTTGAGAAGCAGCATGTTTCTTAGTATCATATTTTGCAAAGGAATTTTGACTTTTTACTTGAAATCTACTGACCTCCCTTACAAGGTTGAGTCTTCTAATGTGATTTATCTAGATATTGAAACCAATTATTTAATGATAAAAATTAAAAGGATTTGCAGATTTCTCTTGGGTTTGAGGTCATCAGTAAAATAGTTTCTGTTCTGAATGTCGCCAAGTAAACATTCCACTCCCAGGCCTGCACTAATCTTTCAGTGATTGCTCTTTACAGTAGTACTAAGCTGCTATACCTGTGGCATTAGCAACTTGAGCCTAAAGAAACACATCAAGCATAAGTCGATTTAAAGAAAATAGGGGAGAGAATATAGGGTTAAAAAAGGGAATTGTATTCTTCAACATCACATGGAATTTCCTCTTCCTTTTTTAAAACTGCTAATTTTCAAAGCCCCAGAAGTAAGAACCTCTCAAACTTCAGCCCTTGGAGCACACATTTTTTACACACAATTAAGTGGGTAAAAAACATTAAAATAACATAAATGTTACTGTGCTATCACTTTTGTATTATTCAGTTAGTATTATATATTTATCATGGGTTTTATCATTATCTTTTATTCCTTTTTTTTTCAGCTGGTTAATAATCCACTAGCAAGTCAAGCAGCAGCAGCTGCAGCAGCAGCAGCCATGGGCTCAATAGCAAACTCCCAGGCCTTTGGAAACGCCCTGTCCAGTCTTCAGGGGGTCACAGGCCAGCTCGTCACTAATGCACAAGGACAGGTGAGTAGAAGATGGAGCAAATTGTGAATACTGATGGCAGGCTGATCTTAGGACAAAAATCAGTTCCGCCTGTATGACAGCAATTTAAAAGTGCACATGTTGAAGATAAATAAATATTGATTTGCCAGACAAGGTAAGAAATGGAAAGTCTGAGAAACAGGGGGAAGTTAGGCACTCTTAAAGAGTGTTTTCAAGCTAGAAAAGGCTAAGGGTTTGGTTTATTTTGTTTCAGTCCTTTTAAAATATTTCAGTAGCGCAATACCACTTACTACTATTTTACCATTTCAAAAGTCTAGCAACCCTGTGATTTTTAACAAACATACCATCTGTCTTCTTCCACTTACATATGCCTAATAACAGACACCTTTACTGAAGTGGTACAGTGCTTCACTTTTTTCCATTTCTGTGATATTTCTGTATTGCATCGTTTCTTAAAGGCATTTAATGTTTCTAGTAAAGGAAAATAAATTGTAATGAAGTATCAGGAATGGAGTTATCTGAGTGGCTTCCTAATTTGTTTATTAACTATGTTAAGCAATTTGCAATGACTATGCCAGCCTGTAAATGTAAATTTGGAAGATTATTTAGGTGTAAAGAAAATTTTCCAAAAAGCAACTTGAACATTGTTTAAGAGTTAGTGTGTCTAAGAGAGAGATTGTGCATTACCTACATTTTGGAGCTGTTTGTTTGTTAAAAGTATTTTAGTTTCAGTCTTAGTATGATGCAGAAACATATGCATCTGAATTTATATATATAAAAATAATTCCTTTGGTGCACCATATTTAAGCGGCTCTCAGAGTGTGACCACTTTTATCCTTTATTGAATTTATTAGGACTAAAACTAACACAATTGTTTCTCTGCAACAGATCTGTGAATGTAACTGGTAACTGAGTCATTTGAATGTCATTATTCTAAATTCTACAAATTGGGCATACAGTGATACCCACAGTGTTTATGTGGATGTTAGGCCCTGAAAAACATTTATTGAAATGATGCAGCTTAGATGATATGTGAATCTAAAATCTAGTTTCTACTCTTACTGTTTACTAGTGAGGAGAAAAAAAGAAAAAGAGCAGCTCTTCTCCTGGTAATTTTCTGCAAGTTAATTGGAACAAGAGTGAGGTTTTTATTTTGGCCCATTAAAAAATAAAATTGAACACTTTACAGGACCTCCCCTGGTTTTTTTAAACAGGACATATAAACAGAGATGCTCCCTGAGCTTCACTATCACCATCCAAGTCCCAGGGAAAAAAATGCTGACCTTGTTATATTTACTGAGTGGGTGCAGAATTGTTCCATCACTACCCTGAGGGTTGAACGATGGAGCTTGTCAAAGTGAGACCTTATCTAATGAATCATCTTATCGCAGGTGCACACCACACATATTAAAGGAGGATTGTATGAACAATGTGCCCTCTACAATAACCTTTCAATGTCTACTTTAACCCTTGTTTCAATCCCTTTTCATCAAAGGATCATTTTATGCAGCCAGCTTTAAATGGAGGCTCTCAAAAGCCTATTAAGATTTCTGGAGGGATGGGGTATTGGTTTGGGAGAAAAGTTGGTTATAATACCTATAACTCATAGTCAGATCAGCTCCAACATAGAAGCCTGCTTGTTTCTATCTCCTCTGTGCTCCAGAAATGGTTCACACTCGCCACTTACATATGAAGCACTTGACACCAAGGATGTTCATCGTAAGAGCTGAAGTTATGATTGTAGACTAATTTCTTTATAGCTTTTCCTTTACATGTTCTCCACTGAAAACATAATCTATGTGTGACCATTCATTGTATCCCTAAAAAAACCCTACTACTAAGAAGATACCACTGAATGAATGTTTCACTCAGCCTGTCTGTTTATTCCAGACATAAAGTCAAGACCAATAATTCCACAGGTTGCAGAGAAAGAGAAAGGAAAGGAAGAATCTTCCCAATTGTCAGAATCAAATTACTGCATCTAGTTATCTGCCTAGGTTTTTTAAATAAGAGTTTTCTTTTTATTGCTTGTTTTTGCAAATGTTCCTTGGTTCATAATCAGTACTGCAGACCTTGCCACAATATAGATAAATATTGACAGTAAGTGTGTAATATAGCATACAGTTTTATAATATTCAGCATAAACTCATATTACTTAGAGACCACTTATCAGACTGCCTTAAAACAGGACTATTCAGTATAATTTATCTACATTCCAGAAAGTAAATTACATTCCCTTCAAATTAACAGAATTATAGTACCTAACCAAGAACTACAGGATGTTTTTTCAAAAGTGGGAACATAAACGAATAGTAATTTGAAATGCTGCATTTCTGAATAATCTGCTTGGAGTCACTAAAGAGCCAGATTTGCACCACGTGTTAAGAATTCCGCCCTTTAAAAATTTTCCCTTTCAAGGAATCACAAGTATGATATCCAAAACTCACTCCTGAAAATATAAAGCTAAATGAGTTACTAAAATGTTGATATGTGCAATCTTTGTAATTACATGTTGTTTCTGTTACAGAAATTCAGGGCTTGTAAATGTCCATCTGTCTAGCTAAATATATGGTGATCAGTAATCCCTGGAGACATTAAGCTCTAGGTCAAATCCAAGATCCTATGCCAAATTTAAGGGAAATGATCCTTTAAATGACATATGGCATGGCCTTAATTCCCAGTAGTCTAGGAGTGCTTACAAATACAGTTTAAAAAATCATATATATTAACAAAAATTTATATAACTTTTTAAAATTTAATTAATTATTGAATTCAGAGTTATAGCATGTTTATTTTTCATCTTTTGCTTTGGATGGCAATATAAACTGTATCACCAGACCTTCCCAAGATCAAACCAAGAGATCTAATCCATTGAAACAATATTATTAGATCACTAGATTAATTTGATATAGTACACGTAGAGGACTCTAAATCCAATTTTCATTTTCAGAGGCATATTATGAAGAGCTATTGGCCCATGTAACACTGCTTACATTCGGTTCGCCCTCAGCACTTTCCAGGAACTGTTTGCAGCACTGAGCTTTTATACCTTAAATTGGAGGGCCAGGGCAGCTGGTTTGCCAGATTGCACCCTGTCAGTAGATTTCAAAGAGAGACTGTCTACCTATTCAGCTTCAGCCTGCCTTACAGTAGCACCCTAGTGCCATTGCTGCCCTTGGATTCTTCAGAGGTTTAACCCAATATATCTTTTTTACACTGGTTTTGCAAATGAGTAAAAAATCAGGAGTTTTGTGTTGGTTTTGCTATGTTTATTGAGTATGTGAAATGTGTGCTTTGGAGGTTGTCATAATATTTTAAGGAAATGAGCCACAGAACTATGAAAACAAGGTTGATGAATATGGTTTCTTAATTATCATCAGTTGCATTCATATATGCCTCTTGACTTCAGCAGGATCAAATACATTTTAACTGTGGGTACTGAGTAAGTTTAGTTTCTCTTTTGAAAAGATGGGAATTGTCCAACATGAGAAAAATACCACTAAATTCAGCAGTTGCAAAATAACATTTTACCATAAAAGAAAAGAGAAACATGATAAGAGTTGGCATGATGAACTGCCTTGTGGGCAGTTCATCATGCCAGGCAGGCAATAGTCTGTTTCCTGTGAGATTATAAGGAAAATCTAAGTATGTATGGTGTAATTGTATTGTCCACACTTTAAGTGAACAGTGAATTAATTTGGATTGTTTCATTAAAATCTAAGAATTCCCCTGAAGTAACCCAGGCTTCATTGTGCCCCTGCCTTGCTCTTTAGATATGAATACCTTCTGTATAAGAAAAATCTTAAGCACAGGTCCACTCTGGTACTTAACAAAAAAATAACTAATTTTTGAGTATTGTAGTCCACAAGTAGCTGAGGAAACGAAATAGCGAGAGAGGCATTGTTGATGCAATTAGATAATAGGAGTACTTTGGTTCTCATTATTCTGATGAGAGGGTACACATTTGCTCTTTGAGCTTCTTGATGGTAAACGGTGCTAATGAGGCCTTATGGATTCCCTGCTCCTAACAAGCCTCTCAGCAGCACAAGTGATTACAATGGAGATAGATTTGATGGGATGCGCTCCCTTTTGTAGTATCTCAGCTGCTGACACTCTGCGACATAATCAGGTCACAGAGCCGGTCACAGCCATCAGCAAAAGCCATAGCTCTATTCCTCATTATTAAAGTGCATTATTCAGTTCCAGGCCTTCACAATACTGCCAAGGGCCTTTTTTTTCTTCCCCTTTTTTTGTTAAGCATCAGTTCTCAAATACAAGAGTTAATAAAATCATCAGCTAAAGAACTAGTAAATTAAAGAAATGGAAATAAAGTGCTCCCTTTCAAATTCATTGAAGGATCACAATTAAATAAGCAGAGAATTTCTCATCACCGCACACTGTACAGTACAATGTAATATGTCATGTGCAATAACAACAGGCATAGGATTTTAAAAAAAACAACACTGTGCTCATTGTGGACTGGCTTGGAAATTGCTGAAGTATCTTTTCTGGTAAAGGAAATTTCTGTCTTTTCAACTATTAAAGTCTACATGTAGGTACTATTATTTTCACTGTTTTCTGTAACTACTTTTTTTCTGAAGTAAGAACAGTTATGTGCAAACTAAGTTTATGATTCTAAGGAGAGCAGCTGTCTTGTCTTAGCTTAAGTGGCCAAGGCCACAATCTGGAAAATATTTAATAGGCTGCAGTACTAGAACCTCTTTGTTCCCACAGACAAGGCCATTACCTTCTTTTGGGGAGTGAGGTAATTATAAAATTGTGTGGAAAAAGGTGTTTGTAGCATTTGCTTTCTATTCCGATGATGTTCAGTTGGGGCTATCCCCATTCCAAAAGAAAATACTCTTTTAAAATCTAAGGCACATTTTAATGTAGTTTAGTTAAACATGTGAGAAAAAAATAGTGGAAAGCCGGAATTTGTTAGTTAGTTAGTTAGTTAGTTATTAACTTTTGTTTCAGCTAAATAGCAATAAGATATTCCAATACTGAAATGTATACCTTTG